AAATACCGGCCCTTCCTCATTCTATCGTTATTAATGGTACAGTGATTTCATTTGTAAAAACGTCGAAAAGTTACGGAGTCTTCTTTTCTTTATTTTGTTAACTGCATTACAAGCAATTCTTCCACATTGAACATGAACAATTTTTCTCACTTATACGGGCATGATTCATGTTTTCACATTTGTGCTTTCTTTCAATATCACGCAAGAGACAAAAATATCTAACTGATATTAATTTCAACAATTTACAATTGCTCATTTTAAATATTGTTCATTCATACTGTGTGTAATATTGGTAAATCTGAAAATGTTCTCTAGATAAAAGGTTTGAAAAAGGGATAACTTTACGATAAATAAAAAAAACTTACAAAATATTACAATTATTGTAATTGCCTGCGGGCCGCAAGATCGACACCCCTTCTCTAGATCGTGCGTTTTGTTCGGTAAAAATAAAATTCAATGAAATAACGTGGTTTTTCGTCATTCTTCGTTAAGTAAAATATTAACAACGAATATTGCTTTAATTTATTAATTAGTTAATGTATTCATTTATTTTCGAGCATGACGATACGAAAAATACAATACGAAATTGGGGAAGATGAAATTCACATATCATGAAATTTTTTTTGAATAAATTAATAAAAATATATATTTAATTGCATACTATATATAACAACGTAATTAAAGCAAATAATGTAAATACTTGTGCCAGCCGTTGCAAATAAAATTTCTTACTTAGTTACTGTAGTGATAGTAGTAGCAGTTTAGCAATAATGTTTTAGGGAAGATGTGCTTAATGATCATCAAGTTCGTCAGAGTTTGAGAATAATTTTTTATCGGTACTCCAGTAGTATGCGTACCAAGATGACGGACACCGGAACGTAGTTTGTGTATCAGGTTAGGGTTAGGCCATAATTTTATTCCAATTTTATTTACTTTAGTTCTATTACGAGTTCGTGACTGGCCAAGTGACTCCCGTAGTATTTGTGTATAAAATTATGGTCTAACCCCAACCCGGTACACATACTACGTTCCGGTGCCCGTCATCTTGCTACGCATACTTCAGGAGTACCGTTTTGTGAATCTCAATTTTAACCATTCTAAAATGATATTGGATATAAACTACTACGTTGGCTCATTCTATGAAAAACCAATCAATCAATCGGGAAATAAACAATTTACCTTAATTTTTTATACACTTAACTTGTCGTTGAAATCGTCAGAGATAGGCCATTCGTTAACATATCTACCTGAAATAAGTTTAGACATATTCAAAAACTTTTTTAATTGGATCAGTTTTTAACATCATAAAAGTGATGTGCATAAATACACAACTTTTATGACTTTTCGTTTAACACTAAATTGAATGTTTGGATTATGACATACAGAAATATATATATACTTAATATCAATCAATCGATTTCACTAATAATACTTTCAAAACGTTGCTCAAATAGTATGATCGTCTCCCAGAATTTGTTTTATCTGGGAGATGGGAAATCGGAGCTTGGAGCCATAAAGCTACGGCAATTTGGTGGAGCTGGAGCCAAGCCTACTGAATTAGCTGGAGCTACCAGGAATTTCAATGACCCAACCTTGCAATTATTTTTCAACACTTATTAATTTCTAATACTTTATATAAATTACACGATCTAAATTTTTTAGCTCATAAATAAAAAAAAAATGGAAGTTGAAATTTTCTAACCAAAACTTTAAATTGGAAACTCTTATTATCATATCTTTAAGCCCGCGGAGCTTCCAGAACTGGATCCAAAGCCAATGTGATTTATAACCTATTCCCTGCCCTGATTCATCTCGGTTCCAGGCAATGAGAACATTATTTTAAAATAACATTAAATTGATTTCACATAATATTGATATAGCGATATATGGTCCAATCGCCTCAACGAGCATGAAGATTAGCAGAGTAATAAACACCAATGCAATGACGTAATGTAGGTGATTAGATTTGAATCCGTAGGATAAATGACATAACTTCAAAACAATAATTCAAACTATAGATTTATATCAATTTTAATTTTAAATTTATTTTTGCCATAATGACCTCAAATTGAATATTGCTGTTATCGATTTTTTTTGCGGTCTAATAGGTCTAACCACCTATTCTTATTCTATACTATTGCGCTGATGGATCCGTAAGGATGAATATAACTTTTCCAAGTGATTCAATAGTCAACTCTAATACAAATATATTTATATAACGTTTTGTATGACCAAAGTCAGAATTCCTCAAACATACATATAGTTCAACTGCAATCTCTTTTCTTGTGACAGTTGAATTATGTATGTCAGACGCAGCGTTACAGAAGTATGTTTGTGTTAGTTTCTGATTTTGTATACAGCAAAGGTTTAAATCTTTTGCATCGATTGCAGCAACACATATTTTGTCTCTCATTCTCCCGCCTCACATTTTTTAAATTAACAAAGGGAATAACCGTCGAGGTGATCAATTATGAATGGTATTGGATTGTGCGGAAAGCGTGTTCTTGATGCAGTGGAAACACTAATACAATGCTGAAAATTGGGAGTTTCGTTTGATCAACCACGAAAACGTAAAAGTCTGTTGTACAGCATGTAGATATCTGTTCCTATTGACGCGACAGGGCTCTAGTGAGTTTTGTCAACTCTTCCAATATACTTATTCGTAAATTTATCTGACATTAAATAGCTAATGTGCAAAGCGCAAAAGCTAATTTGAATACACTCATGCAAATTTGATAAATAGTTTTAACAACAACAAAAAGAAGAACAACATAATAACAAAACGATTCATAGGTCCACTTTGTGTGCGATAATGCACGAAGACAATATTGTATCATCAGCGGCTCAATTTTTACTATAAAAACTTTCAGATATTATTCAATTCATAAATAACAAAATTCTTTTTGTGAAATACTTGTAGACTGTTATTTATTTGTTTACCCCTTATTGCTTGACAAATATATCTCTTTTTTGTTTGTTTCAGAATACACAAACATCATTTTCAAATCAGTCTTTTCGCGCGGCCTCCCGTCTGAAAATCGATCTGATGTTTAGGTAATGGGCACATCGTGATTCAAGAAACATGTAACTTAATTGTTGGGCTCGATAATCAAATTCAATTGAATCGAATATATCAATTCGTTGATTAATACTGAAATAACACATACTTATGTGAATTATGATTCTCATTACAGATGTCGACAGTCGAGGTTAAATTCCAATAAAGCGGCCCACATGCTTTGTTGTTAAATTTGCGTGGCTAAACATATAGGGGACGGTGGGAGGGTGTTAAAATGAACAACACTATACCCACACTCTTAACAATGCAAACAGGTTTATTATAAATACGAAATCTCTCTAGCAATTTACAAACATAACAGCAGTCTTTTGTTTTACTATCTCCCAAGTATTTACAATTCTTCAAACCTTATTGCATGCGATGTAGAAAAAAAGCTTAAGCTTTGTGACAAATATTATGATTGGCATTGCACTCTGAAATTATTTTCGTTTCCGAATACCGCTGACCAGCAACAAATATATTGTAAATACAACTATCACATGTGATATATAAAACATTTCATTTCAGATAAATAAACATAAATGAAGTTAAGTTCCAATGTTTAACAGTTGATTATTCTTCTCTCATGGCGAATCTCCTTTTCACATATTAGATAAATTTACCAACAATACCTCGCATTTACCTACAAATATTTATTATATTATGCCAGATGGCCAGATGACGAAAAGAGTGGATACTGCGCTCATTATACACCAAACGAAGGGCCACAGCATTGCCCAAATTGTTAATTTTCACATTGGGGTGAATGATGACTTACAATTTTTATATTTTTACGAGGAAACATAAACATGGAAAGTTTTGCATACAATTCAGATAGAGTCATAGAAAAATTTGCTTCAGTAAATCGTTAAAAATGTGCAGGTGCGAAAACGTTCAACTTTTAGAACGATTGAAGTTTGATTTTGAGTTTACGGGTATTCTACCAGATGATACAAATAGCAAACGAACTCGTATATGGAAGGCTTTGCAACACCTTGCGCATAAACGGATCATTCTTGTGAAAATCCAGTTGCTTGCAATCAAATATTTTTGAATCCTGGGCCAATGCTCATCTTCCACGTTGATGTATGAGTCTGATGTAAGGTGTATATATGAGTCTGATAAGCCGTTTGTTGTTTGAACTGTTTTGTGATTTGAGTATGTTACTCGAACACAGGCTAATATTTTTGGTTCCTTCATCTCAATATATTGCCGGTCCGCGAAGTCATTTTATTGGATATTACCGGTTCGTCGGGATAAGAAGGTTGGGAACCACATGCCTAAAGCAGGTACTCCAGAAGTATGTGCACCAAGATGGTGGACATCGGAACGTAGTATGTGCACCCTGTTAGGGTTAGGCCATAATTTCAGGTACAAAAACTACGGGAGTCACTTAGGTAGTCCCCAAACTCGTAATAGAACTAAAATAAAGAAAATTGGAATAAAATTATGGCCTAACCCTAACCTGGTACACATGCTATTTTCCGGTGTCAGCCTCTCGGTGCACATACTTCTGAAGCGCCCTAAAGCAGATGTTCCAGAATCATAGACTTGATAGTGGAGGAAATCTACCCTGTAATATGGAGAGCCTTTTCTCAGTTCTGTGAACGAGATTGCCTGGCGGTTGAAGCGTCAAACTAACCTCTGTTGGCCTTGCAGGTTACACATCAAATCTTTCGTCTGCCATCCCACCCACCCAGGGGGAAATTGGATAAGAAAATCCGAACCGTAAACATTCTGGTATCGGCTGTTCAGAGATTTGTTCGAAGCAAAAGCCGTGCATGGACACCGTATATAAAATAGGGTGGGTCCCAGTAGGGAATTCCTATTTTTTCACTGAAACTAACAAAATTCAACTTTTCATTACAAATAAATTAAGTCGTTCAACATGGTTGACCATGATGAATATATATAATGTACATGATAACACACGACAGAATTACGTTAAATTGCCAGTCATTTACCTTGAGAAAAACTAGATGCACAGATATAGGCAATTTACATGAATATCAGAAAAAATTAAAAATCAATTTCCCTTAATTGTAGAATTTATAAAAATTTAATATTGAGAGTTCATATTGAAATTTCAAGATTCGGGCACAATAGCCTAGTTCAGCGGGTCCCATCGGGGGCCAATAGGGCCCCAGAATAGTTGGAGTGGGGTCACATCATTCGGCACAAAACTGATTTTACTTTTCACTTTACAAAAAAAAACCTCTGTTCTTTCTAGTTTCATTGCTGAATAAGATATTTCACATGGTGTTTTTACTTGTTATTTGAAAAAAATGTGATTTTGAATACACCATTCTAAATAGAACTATAAATACCACTGGAATGATAAACATGGGTCCATGGGCGCTAAAAACCTACTGAAGAGGGACACGAGCCATGAGAGATTGGGAACCACTGGACTAGTGGTTGCAACGATGGATCTGGTTATGTAGGTTTCGCAGGTTAGTGACCCAAACACCTCTCATATTGTAAATTTCCGATGAAAATGAAATATTTATATGCAGGAGGTTTTTTCCATTTCATTATGGGATTTAGCACTGCAATTATTTGATATTCCAAATTATTGTTTTTTATGAGTAGACAATGGCTGAAATTCGATTTGGTAAACATGACATCAATTATGCATTGAACTGTTTTTTTTTTGTCGGATGACCAGCCGGTTGATATACATATAATATGTCCATAACCGAGTTTAATAAGAATTTTAATTTGATGGAAATCATTCCTTCTGACACAGGACTCCATATTTGAAAGACGAACGTGGAGCGTTGAACATTCCATGGCTACTACCTAACAGATTTCGTACAGTGATCGCCAGTTGGGTGTAGGTTGGATGTGAATATGGTGCCCCTGGAGTGTAAATAACGTATTGAGCAGCGGTGCCGTCCGATCGCAAAACTATATTCAACTGTTAAAAATAGAAAAATCTAATTAAGAATACGATCGAGCAGTTATGATTGAGGTAATGTCTGATATTTTAAGAAACGCTGAGGTTCAGGATAAATATTAAACTTTAGATCATTTGCGTGTCGATATTCATGTAAGACTTTGGTGAATTGGTAAGAATAAGCGAGTAATATTTCCTGGATAGGTACAAGGCTTATGGTAGTTAAATAGTTCGAGTAAGCATAAAAAATGGGGTGGTATTAGTGATTTCCCTACACTTCCCTTATAGGAAACGCACACCCGCCTAGGATTTCGAATACACCCCTACATTGAAACATACAGACTGGATGGTATTCTTTTGGTTAAAATTGAATGACCAGATTAAACACAAATGGGAGATCCATTTCAAAATCCATAAAAATCTTTCATAAAATTCATTAACAGCAAATGAGGCCACGATTTATTGACATACCCAGTGGTCGAATGTCATAGCCAACCAGACATCTTCGTATGATGAAGACATTATTGTTTGAATATACTTGACGACCATATCATAATGTTGAGAATCGATTATGTCTGCTGGTTTTGCCGACATGTTTGTGCACATTACAACAGCTTCGTTGTAGTTGACATCTTGTGCTGTGTGTAACGAAGCTCGATAACATTTCCCGAGATACAATAAACCGTCACAAAGTCCTGTAAAAGAAACATAGACCGTTAGGATATAGATTGATGTCGTAATGAAAAAAAGGGCACCAGCCTGCTCCAGCAATAACGGAAAATGTTTGGGTTATTGGAGATTAGTTTTGATTCTTCAATAATACTGGTTAATGCTAGATGGGAGTCTTATAATTAATGTGAGTCATATTTATTCGTTTCGTGCTGTTTGAAAAATAAGGTATAAAACTTGATTGACTATGTAGGGACTACATAGCACCAGTACCGTTTTTACAGGCCGTGGGAAGCAACGGTTATGGCGCACTGTCAATAAATTGCTTAGATTGTTCTTTTATTCATACATTCGGCGCATCGGACTATAAGACGCAAAGATTACTGGTACTGGTTTCGTGAATAGGCAATAAAACAATATTTGATGTATTCATTAGGCGCACCAGCTTGCTTGGCGCGCGTTCGATTTTAGAGATGAAAAATCATTTTAAATGCGCCTTATGGTCCGTAATAAATTCGTGCATTCGTTAATGCTATGTATAAGTTTGTTGCTACATATTTGTAGGTTAACGTCGCACTTCGGATCGATTTTCGTATTTTGTTTTATCTGTGTTCACTTATCTGTAATTCCGATAATTAGCAATTATTAAATCACATAGATTGCTTCGAGTGTGCCCTCATACATTGGCATATCTGGTTACGGTTTGCAGTTTATCAAAAATATATGGGTTACAATGAAACGAGCCCTGGATTTAAAATCATACCATGTCCAGCACATCACCCGGGGTGTTATTTGGGGGGTGTAAAATTAGGGGGCAATGCCAAATTGAAAATATTCCTGTCCTTCCGAGCAGTTGTGTATTTCTTTAACTATCAGTGGAAGCTTTTCAGAGCCTTACGCGGGGTGGAAAGTGTAGAAATGCGTTTTATAAAAAAAAAACTCTACAGTTTTCTTAATGTTCCATACACTGACATATTGAAATTAAACATGAAGATTTATTTCACGCAACAAACCTTGGTCAGTAAATCCAGACGGAATTGTTTGGACGAATGGCTCAGATGTAGTTTGTGGATTCACAGTATTTTCGGGAGATGTCAAAGACAGACGTGAAGCACTAGTCGAAGCGGGGACTGTTGAAGTATTTACGCTGTTCAAAGTAGAAAAGAACGCTTCGCCAGTTGTCCAAAGAGACTTTGCAGGTGTAACCAGAGCGATGACTGAAGAAGTCTTCACGCTGTCGATTTCTGTGTGAAAAAGGAATTTATTTTAAAAACGAAGTTGTAAAACTGATATGCAATTTTGTCTAGCGTACGAAGACGGCAATATTAAATCCAAAATTTTTCTGTTTTACACGATCATTAACGAACAAGTCACTAAGCATCTCTAAATTTTATTTCCTATTATGGCTCAAAATATATATTTATAATAATTGGAGAGCCACAATCCGGTCCGCGAAGCCATTCAGTGTGCCCCCTGTAAACACTAAAATTGTCCCTCATTAAGCATGAAATCCCAATCCAACAGGGCCCACGAAGAAAAAATGTTGCACACCCCTGTCCTTAAATAACCGAAACTGAACTAGGAAGAGTTTGTTCACCTTGTGGTTTGGTCGTTTCTTTTACATCTGTGGCAAGGGTGTGTATTGCGTTGTTTTTTGTGGTCGTTGCTGTAGGGGTTTTCAGTTTTCCGTTCATGAGGGTTATCATGCTGGCCAACTGGATGATTTTCTCTAGGAATAAATGAAAATTGTTCAATTATCCAACTATTCATCAGTTCGTTGTTTGTTGATCAACCCTTTTTTGCTCGTAATATTTCAGTTTCAAATTTTTTTTAAACATACAAATTTTATTTCAAAGTGTCTATTGTTAACGTTTCCGATTTGACAAAGCCAATATTTCGATAATATGAACAAATAAAATAAAAAATGTTACGATTTGAAATCTTTCGTTATGAAAAGGATAAAATACCCAAAACTAGGAGACTACATCTCTGGGGAATATATTTCTTACTCAACAGTGGCTGAGCCTAGTATGATACATCAGGGAACATAATTTTTGATAGATAAAATAAAATAACCAATTCCGATGGGGCTCACAGTTGAATCGTTAAGTGCTCTTTATGTTACGAACCTTCCAAAGCTTTTTTTCTGTTTCTGAATTCTTCAGTCTTAAAACAAAAGGGATTATATAGTAAGAAATGAAAATGACTTATCTGTATTCTCGTAAATTGGCGAAATGTTTGAAACTTATGTGACAACATAATGCCGTTTTGTTGAGCGCGTAATGTTTAAGGAATATTTGAATTTAACAAAAAAAAAGATGTAAATGATTTTTCATATATTATGAATGTCGCCAGTCATACTTATTTTGAAACAAATAAATCTGAGATATGAAGTTACTATGAATATCTTACCATTTCGCATTCCCGGAACACTTCCCACACAGGAATATTGTTACACAGCATCGGTGCCCAGCATTTCTCTCCTGTTGAAGAAAGATATATAGTTAGATAAAATAACGTCAAATTAAGAACATTGTTCCAATGCATAAGATATAATCATAAACACACATTAAATCCCAGTGCAATTCAAGACAGCTAGTTGACTATTTTGATTGATTGATTTTAGTTAACCACAAACTGGAAACTAAATTTCAATGAGAAGCAGCTTGTCCAAAGCTTTGTTCGGAGCTATTTTATGAAATATTTTAACTGACAAATCTGTCAGTAGCCTATAGTACACATATTACTGTATTAAAGAGCCTGTTTGTGCGAGTGAAAACACAAACTCATTGACAGCATATCGTAACTTATTCCGCAATAAATACTGAAATGAAATAACAATTTCAAAAAACATGCTATCCTGTTCTTTTGTTCAATATAATTGACTCCCTGATACCCCGATAAAATTGCAAAGAATTGCGAAGCGATAAATATAGAAATATCATAAGATCTTTTCACAAAGTTGTAAGTATCTTATAAGCTTTCATTGGATCATAGTTTAAATTTTTCTGTATACTGTAATCGAAAGCTTAACAATATACTTGATTATTTTATTGAAAAAATAATTTTTATTTGAAACCTCAATACTAGGCTTGCACGTAATTGACAAAAATCAATTCCGTAATTACGGCCAAATCGATTACGTAATGACCCCGTAATATTTTTTCACACATTTAAACCTATCATAACAACCAATTCAATCCACTTCATTTTCGATTGGGACATCGAGTTTGGGTTTTCATATTTCTGGCAGTACTACACGCCGGCGACAGATGTTAAGACAAGAGTGAATTCAAATTAATTTTATTCTGATTTTTATCTTTTGTGCTAGCTTTGATTTCCTTTATCACCTTCGCAAATTAACCGTCCCAATTTTATGCGATCAATTTTATCATTACCGACACTAGTGTACGGATATTTATGAAACGATAGTTGACTTTTTTAAAATCGTATTAAAAAAAATGTCTGGTTTCCAATTTATCAATGCCGCGACGAGCGTATTCTCTCGTTTGATTATACCTGCGCTTACCTCGCGACGAAAACTTGTTATTGCACCGCTTTTAACATTATTCGACTTTACTGCCTAGTCAGCATTTTATAATAATTATTGACGCCGTAAATTACGTGCAAGCCTACCAAATACCAATTCGTTAAATCATCTTAGTGGCAAGGCCCGTTCACGTTATAATTGAAATATTGCTCTCTTGTAATTAAAATGTCACTAACCTTTAATCAATGAAAAAGCTTCGATAATCAGGAGAAGTCTGATTAAAAAGACTCGAAGAGGAATTTCCATTTTGAAATCTTTGAGGACTTGTCAACCTTTCTTTGCTTGAAAGTAGATCCTTTTACGGTTTGCAATAGAGTGACACTTAACACTGTTTGCATCACATTATATTCTATGTGAGTTACTCACAGCTCATAGCAAGAGAAGAGAATTTTTTCTCTCTTATTTCAAAAATTAAAATGAAAAAAAAATGCATTTGGTCACAAAACAAAAATGTGAATTTAGTGGCGCATCTCTCTTTCTATCTTTATAGCACGGTGATTGATGCTTCAATTCATTCAATGCTTCAATTTACGATCGGCACAATATAGAGTATTTTGCTACCCTGGCTATTTTCACGATTTGTAACATATAACACATTGATAATATATTATTAAATTGAACCATTGTAAAGGAAAATTAAAATTGAGATAGAAAGACTGTATATTTAATTTTCTGAATTTAATCGCCTTCCCTCGTTACAAAAAGCAGGTGTAACAATAACACCCACGAAATTTAACACAAAGCATTTTTACATTTTAATTCGGTAACACAGGGTGTTGAAGTATTTAAAACATGAATTAACATGAATAAAAATAAGTAAACCTGATTGAGATATATAAAGAACTGACTTCATGACAAATTGCAACGAGACCTCATGAACACTTTGTAAGTCCATTAATCGGATCTTCTGGAGATTGAACTAGGCGTGAAAGGACATAACAACATATACCGGTATCCTCGTCTAAAGTCTTAACCAGGGAGGATTTCCATGAGAGAAGGCAACAGAAGAGAATGCGGCGATGCTTAGCCTTACAGTTATAGAAGCACCAGGCAAAACAGCGGGAGATTTGACGAAATCACAAGAGCAAAAGACAACGTGGTTTTTTGTCTATGTGAGCGCCTTTTAAAACATAAACTGTCAAATTAGAATTTATGCTCGATGGGGAAAAGTCTGTTTGTAGGCACGACACACACTAAATGGTATGATCGCGTTCTGTGGCTAGCACTAAAGTTATATTTGGCGTTTTGAAAGTTTTGTATTATATTTATGAAAAGCGTGTCATGTTAGTATAATTCACGTAGTGCCACGCGTACATTATTGAAATGAGGTAAAGACAAAAATTTCATCTCTTTCTTTCACCTTGACAGTTCTGAAACAGTTTCGCATAGCATTGGGTATACAGATCCTTGGTTTAAAATTCCATCCCTGCTACTGAACCCAGGATGTAAAAATGTTAGAAGTCTATATAAAATCAGAGATATATTGATTTATGCTGGTACAACTCCACGTTCAGTGCGGACATTAAAAACATTTTATAAAACGTGAATCGAGTGTTTGTATGGGTGAAATATTACATTTTTTAGCACATATGGGACATACAGTCATGGTGACTTCCTCTAAAATTCAAACTGCTGAGTTAATATGCACACTTTCGTTATATTGTTCACATATGATAGCGTACACGACTTATTGCATCATTTTTCAAAACTGCGAACTTCCGAAAGATACTTATGATCACTAAACGACTTTACGGGAATTCGAAAACTGAACAAAGGTGCAAAACAATCACTGTATCGAATAAGGACCGAACATGGCCGCGGTTGTGCACTCATTTTGGACGCTGTGAAATGAGTATCCAAACTTGATCTTTGATACAGTGTTTTCCAGACCAGTGTGGCACGTCGTGACATACGATTCTTTTCCTTCTAATGAGTTATCGATGAAATGAGTTTCGTATTGTGTGTGAACGCTTAGAAAACAGTGCAAGTCAGAAGACCAAAAGACGAAGTATTGATGAGATTGATGCATAATGGCCATGTATGACAGTTTTGAAATTCAATACGACGGCCTTATCGCATTGGTTATATAGATCCTTGATGTAAAATAACATCCCTGCCACTGAACCCAGGATGTAAAAATGTGAGAAGTCTATATAAACGAGATATATTGATTTATGCTTGTATATTTTCGCGTTCAGGAAGGACATACAAAACATTATATAAAACGTGAAACGAGTGTTTGTATGATTAAAATTGTACATTTTGATAGCACTGAATCTGAAAAAATCTGAATTGTTACGCATACTTCCGTTATTTTGCTCACATATTATACGATACACGCCGCATTGTATCAATTTCAAAACTGCGAATTTTCGAAAGACATTCATTATCATTGAATGATTTTACGAAAAATTCAAAACATTGAACAAGTTCATGCAAATAATAATTCAGGGCAATAATTTAGTTTAGGCATACTCTGTCATATGGGCACAGTTTTCCCGACATTCGTAACTTCATAATTTTCTCGCTCATGATATATATATTGATACCTGAGACCAATATACGAACTTCAATTCAAACATAATGTGACATAAACGAGTTTTGTGTTTGGTTATTCAACCAGACAATTTCAAATCATAGATCATTGCTTTACAATTGGCTTTCTATAATAAATTGGGATTGAACACTCAGACCAATTGAGCAGTTCAATCACGTAACAACTAAGTCGTATGTACAGAGCAACTCAGCATAGGCAAATAAGTATCTAACAACATAGTTAATTATTCGTTAAACATATTAGTCGATGCTTTATAAAAGATGCAACAAAAACATATTTGAGATTAAATGGTAGTGAGGAATGCGGATCCGAAGTCAGGAGTTGAAAATTTGAATTATCTACAATCGATTGCTTTGTTGCTTGCTTCATTAGAGACAAAACGAAACATATCATAAACATGCCGATAGGCGCTCAGTATGGATCACCGCTAATCCTTCAGGCCCGCGTCATATCAGAGTTACTAACAGAAAAAGAACTGCCATTCAATTTTGAGCGTCGTGCGCCTCGACGGTATACTTGCACAAACGATTTGCTGTAGCTAATTTTTAAAACATTGTCAATTAAAACTCCTTAGGCTTCCGCAGTTCATGGACTATCGACGTGGAAGGTTTGTTCGAAAGCGTATTTCGTTTGCGGACGGTACCGTTCTCGGAATTTTTTTATTCGATTTGGTTGGCTAGAAAACGACGGAATATTATGAGAAAATTGAAAAAATTTTAATGATCGACGCGTTTTTTAGACGCTGTTATGGGACCGAAACATAAATTCGTACCTTTGATAAACATACTGGAGTGACTGGATATTGTATATTTTCTTCAGTTTCCTAGCCATGGGAGGCTGAGTAATTCTAACAAGAGTAAACGTAAGAATTTAGAATTAAGCAACAGAATTCGGTGCTCCAGGAGTGTGTGTACCAATATGGAGGTAACTAACTTTGTTCGTCCATTTTATATCAAGTTGTGTGAAGGGACTGAAACCCATGGTCTGGGGGTATATTCACTTGACTAACACAGACAGTCCCCGAACTCGTAACAGAACAAAAATGAGAATATTCGAAAAGAATTATGCCCTAGCTTTAACCTGGTACACATACTTTGGTAATACTCCATTTCACTCACAAAAATTGCGACAACCAAAACCTTTCATAAAACGCCAATAACTGTCGTATGTATATAGCCATACTTGAGATAATCTTCATCATACATTCTCCTTTTCTGGTCATTTTGCGATACTTGGTAAATACAAACTGAATTTTACCTAAGTCGACGCAATAAACGTATGTTTTTTTTGCGATTTAATGTATTTTCTGCCCAAACGTTTACATAACACACGTAAAATCTCAATTAACTGTTTACTTTATCACTATTGGGCTATGCAAAAATCCATTTACTGTGTGTTGAAAATACACAACTATTACAGACTTCTTGGCTTGCTCAAATTTTCAAAGTTGATTTTGAGAGTTTTTTTAGAGAGTTAGCGCTTACAAAGTGACTCACATCATCAAAACTATAATTTTTATTCAAAACATTAAATCCGCGTACCGCGTACCGCGTACTTGTTGATAGCTAATTTCAGGCGAGTCTATCGCAGCGTTTGCGATATCAATTTTTTATTATTGCAAGTTATTTGATTTACTTACAACTATTATTTGGAAACATGACTGAAAACTGTCAAATAATACGCCAATACACGAAAACGAGGTTATGTTTGCAACCTTGCTTGAATATCTTTCTGAGCGACCCCACTGATTGCAATTGTTACGTCATTACGACTTAATGCTGATTGGCTATTTTTACGGCATAGACAGAAAACATCCATGGACCATAACGTTATTTACCATAAAAATAATTTTCAATAACGCGTGTTGTCACTCATGCTGAACCTATTTCGTCAGCGTTTTTGTGACATTGTAAGTAAAAGGTCATTGTCAAAGCTTTTCACGCCTACCATGGGGGCGCGCCAGTTTAAGAACCACTGCGTTAGAGTAATCTCTGTTGGCATCGCTGGTTACACATCTCGAGTGCAAATTTCATGTCCACATTTCCATGCAGCTAGGGGGAAATTGAGAAAGCAAATCCGGGCCGCAGCCATCGCCGTGCTAGGTGTCCAGGCCCTTGTTAGAAGCGAATGTTTTAAATGAACACCGTATGTAAAATAACACGATTGAGCCACAGCAAAAAACTCCGATTCCATCACAGAAACCAACAAATCCAACTAACTGTTCATTTCCAATAAATTGAATCGTTTTACATAATTCACCGTGATGAATATATATATTGTACATGATAACAAACGACAGAATTACGTCAAATTGTCAGTCATTAACCCCAAGAAAAACTAGATGCACTGATATAGGCAGTTTACAAGATTATCAGAGGAAATTAAAAATCATTCCCACCTATTGTGGAATTTATAAATATTTAATAATGAGGGTTGATATTGACATTTCGAGATTCGGACACCATAGCCTAGTGCAGCGGTTCTTCACTGGAGGCCCAGAAGGGGGGGGGGGGGGGGGGGGGCGCAGAACGGTTGGAGTGGGCACATTGCTCTGCGAAAAACTGATTTTACTTTTCACTTTACAAGAAAACTCTGTTCTTTTTAGTTTCATTTCTTGGTAATGTTATTTCACACGGTGTTTTCACTTTGTTGGGTATGAATTATTTGAAAACAATGTAATTTTGAATACACCCTCCAAAAAAGAACTATAAATACCACTGGAATGATGAACAAGGTTCATGAGTGCCAAAATCCTACGGAAGGGGGACACGAACCATGAAAGGTTGGGAACCACTGGCCTAGTAGCAACGATGGATCTGATTATGTAGGCTTCACAGATAGAAACCCAAATACCTATCAGATTGTGAATTTCTGATTTGAATGAAATATCTATACCCGTGAAGTTCTTTCCATTTCATTAACGGATTTAGCACTGAAATGCATTCTATATTCCAACTTAATGTTTGTTTATGAGTTGTCACCAGTCTGAAATTCGATTTGGTAAACATGATATCATTTATGCATTGGATTGTTTTTTTTTTGTCAAAAAGACCAGTCGTTATATACATATAAGCTCGGATAACCGAGTCTAGAAAGAATCTTAATTTGATGGAAATCATTCCCTCTGACACAAGACACCATTGGTAGGATACGACCGTGGAGCATTGAACATTCCTTGTTGACCACGTGACGGATTTCTTACAGAGATCGCTATTTGGGTGTTAGTTGCAGATGTGAGGGGTTTTCCGTGGTAGTGTTTGACGTATGGAGCAGCGGTGCCGTTTGACAACAGAACTCTATTCGTCTGTTAAAATACAGAAAAATCTAATTAGGAATATTGACGTGGATACGATCGAGTAGGAATGATTGAAGTATTTTCCGATATTTGGGAAACATTCAACTTTATAAAAATTGGCAAGGCGACATTTGTATAAAACTTGAGTGAAATGGTAAGAGTAAGCATATGGAAGGGGATAGTATTTTTCCTGGATAGTTAGAAGGCATCTAGTAAATAGTTCAAGTAAACATATAAAATGGGATGGTATCAGTTATTTTCCTTCCCCTCCCTCAAAGGGTTGGTCCATGGTAAGCTCTCACAATAATCAATAACAGCAAATATTGCCGCGATTTATTTACATACCGAGTGGTCGAATGTCATAGCCAACCAGAACTCGTCGTATGATGAAGACATCACTGTTCGAATATACTTGAAGACCAAATCATAATGTTGAGACCCGATTATGTCTGCTGGTTTGGCCGACAATTTTGTACACATTGCAACAGCTTCGTTGTAGTTGATATCTCTCGCGGTGTGTAAAGAAGCTACATAACATTTCCCGAGATGCAATACACCGTCACAGGGTTCTGTAAAAGAAACATAAACAGTTAGAATATAGATTGATGTCGTATTTGTAAAATAAAAAGAAAAGGCCCCAGCCTCACCAATAACTAAGTTTGGGTTATTGGAGATTGCGTTGTAATTTTCAATAATGCAGCTTTAATGCTAGATGGTGGTCTTAGTATCAATGCGAGTCATAATTATTCATTTCATGTTGTTTGAGAAATCAAGTATAACTTGAATGACTTGCAACTCGGGTCCGAGAGACTTCTATCCAGCACTAGTGCCTTATTTTACGGACCGTGAGGAGCAACGGTTATGACGCACTGCCAATAAATTGCTTAGATTGTGTTTTATTCATAAATACGGCACATCGGACTATAAGACGCAAAGGGTACTCATGCGGGTTTTGACTGCAGGCAATAAAGCACTACCTGGTCTATACATTAGGCGCGCCAGCGTATACGACGCACGATCGAATTTTCAGATGAAAAAGAATTTTAAATGCGCCTTATGGTCCGTAATAAATTCCTGCATTCGTTAACGCTGTGTATAAGTTTGTTTCTACGTATTTGTAGGTTATGCTCGCATTTCGGATTAATTAGCGTATTTTTTTATCTGCGTTCACCTTTTTGAATTAGAGAAGCCAAACATTTATTATTTTATACTATATTGCATGTTCAATTTAATTTTCGTTTATATTAATCTTTGTACTTATTTTAATAAAAATTGTTATTGCGCTTATATGATTGAGAGTCAAGTTTACGATAAACGAACCGAAATACCTGATTCAATCTTCTCGTCCAATTCACCAAGTTTTGCCAGCATTCGTTCTTCTAATTCTTCAATTCTTGAAATCACTGACTTTTCAACTGTAGAAACAATTTTTGTTAATTAATTAAGCATTTCGCTACATTTTTGTTTTATTAACGAGAAGTTTCGCTCCGGACAGGGCCATGGACAAGCAACTACTATTGGTGAGCAATTGCAAAACTATCTAATTCCATTGTCGAATTTAAGCGGTAATTAACGTTCAAAAGTTATGTAAAACAAAAGAGTATATTTTCCAGAAATCCAGACTTACTGCTTTACATGGGAAATACGTTATCCCTTTTAAGTGTTTGAATAACAGAAGCCAATGCGAGCAAATCCGCGCGACAAAAAATAATTTCCGGTCGAATAGTTGAATATAATAAATATCTAAACTTGATTTTAAACATTTGAATAAAAGACTACATGTAGATTATACAAAAGCAAAACAAGGACCGCGATCTAAACTTGAAAAACCTACCTAATTTCTCAAATAGTTGTTCAACGGTGGCATTGACTTTTTGATAATCGACAATTCCTGGGTCGCCTTGTTGACCTTTGACCCCAGGCATCCCTATTCCACCCATTTCTCCCTTTAAACCTCTTTTTCCAGGTGGGCCAGGAGAACGATGAGAGTGGGTTGAACCACGACTGGGAATCGAATCGTTTTCGTCTTCAGCAAACACGTCGTCCACATTCTTGCATATCATATGCTGACTTGGTGATGTCACAAGAGTAGTAAAGAAGAAGTGACAAAGACAGACAAGAAGTAATAAACGTCTCGTCATCATGCTTAGATTGTATAATCACTGGAAAGAAATAATATAATGAGTATCTAGATATGTTATAACGAAAGGAGGTAAAAAGTCCAGGAATCGGCATTGACCAGTTTGAATTTTTATTCTGGGAATCAAGCCGATGAGACGGTTTGCTTTTGAGTCGGACATCAGTCTATCGTCCTATTTTTTTATGTTTCAGAGTTATTATAGAAATACTGCAGAAACTAAACCTACGAAAGGTTCTGGATACAAAAAAAATCAGCTTACGAAAAGTATTTTCGTAAAAATATTGTTCCGACTAACGTAAGATTTTCTACATACGAAAGGCCGAAAACAGGAAACAAAAAACGCGTGTAGAGATATTTGTTTATTTTAGGTTAATTTAATTCAGTGCTTGAAGTCGGGATGTCTAATTCGAATATATTATTCGAATATCGGGACCTTCGTTTTTCGTGGTTACAGGTAAATCAAAACCAGGTTACTATGACCCAACATTTCAGGGCTGTGTTGACCCAAATTACGTCTCTTTGAACTCTAAAAGCCGGTATTACGGCTTTTCCAAAAACGTCTTCTGACCCCGAAAGCCGGTTTACCGGCTGTCCCGTATGAATTATGCAACTTTGAATTTCGCGAACCTTATATTAAATTTAGAAAAGTTTATAATTTTTGAAAGAAAACCTCGGAGACTAATTATAATTCCTAAATAAAGATAAAATGTCGCGATTATCCAACAAAAATCGGCAAAACTGAAGAGTGAATTTTTTTATTAAAGAGTTTAAATTAAATGACAAAAACTTGAATTCGTTATTATTTTAACCTAATACAATATCGACGCATTTGTTGAGGTTAAAGATAATTTTAAAATTGAAATCTCATTGAATTTTATCGAAGCAATTTTATTGAATGTTCTTCAATTCGACACATGCCCGCTGCGCCAACTTAAAACGTAAACAAAGACGTTACTCAATTACTTCGTAACGCATCGACGTTACGCAATTACGTCGCCACGCAGCAGCTCTGAGGGGTCATATCGCTTTCCTTCGCAAGTGGGTGACGTCATTAACGTAAAGTCATACAGTTAAAGTGGGTATTATTTGAACTGGTATTATGCCGATATTTTAAATCCTGCGTTTTACATTATTCATTCCAGGAGATGACGAAATGATCGAATTTTTTCGGGAAAAATTTGCATGATCCAGTGATCTGTTACAACAATTGCTCCAAAATTAATATAAACGGTCTCTTGGCTAGCACATTCTGCGACCTTATGAACTTTTTGATTTTGATTCGCCCATTTAGTTGCGCTCCATAATCAGATAGCAAACCTTTATATCATGACCTTTTTAGGCATTAATAACCATGTACAATCCAGATTAGTTGGAATATATAGCTCTTAACCGCAGTCGATGCTGTGATACTGGCAAAATCGGGATCCCATCGGCTTGTCCATAAGACATTTTTTTCTGTCCCATTCCCATACCATTACAATTCAATAAAAATTATTGAATTCAGGTTTAGCGTTTACTAAATAGAACTACATATACGAGGAGACATGCAAAACAACGAAATTTACGAACTTCGTTAACTCTATATTCATAAATATTATACATGTGTCCATTAGCCCCTTCACGAAGTATATTGTTAATGCTGAATATATTTTGCTCTTTATAACTAACAAAGAGCTATGCGCTTAAATACATGGACATGAAATCCATAATGAAATATTTTACCATCACCCCCCCCCCCCCCCCCCCCCCATCATAAGTTTTCGTGTATCATGGGAAGTACAAATGTGTGCCGTCCCATCCCATGGGAATCCCATTCTCATGAACAACTGGAACTGCAAAACGACAAAATGCACGATTGCATAGGCATAACGTAAATTACGTAAAGCCTTACACAACGTCGCGTTACGTCAATGCATAATTGGACTTTTGGTCGTTACGCGAACTTGGCTTCTAATCGTTCACCGATTTTGTATCATTTTTAAAATCTTATGACATATAACAAATTAAGATGAAAAAGCCATAAAAAAATTGTCAAAATTTAATGAAACAAAACATTAGTAATGAGACTAAAAATAAGCTTACACATCTCATCAGAATTTCTCGTATAAAATAATGTCAGTTATGAATAAAAGACTAAATAAGCTTTCAAATTAAATATTTTAGATCATCCGATAAATAATGGTTTAGAAGTTACATTGATTTAATATGACGGATATTACGAATCTTCAAACCGACGAATTCATGCGACACCGTGGGAGTTCAGGGTGAGAGAGTAGCGTCGTTCTGAGGATTCAGATTTCAAAGAGTATAGTTTGCATACAAAGTTAGTTCTTAAGTATAACTAGCCATCTATCTTACGATTAATATTGCACGACTGAAAGCGCCTTGCGTGTTCACCTGTTTCACAGAAAAGCATCTTAATAACAAAATGGGAGTGAACTAGGAATGTCTATAAATTAGTTATATTCGATTGAATTCTCGATTGCAGCCATCATTCACAATATTGATTTAATAACCTTTTTATAGATACTGACACATTACGACCAGACCAAAAATATAAACTCCACTTAACATGTACCAACTGGTCACTGGGTAAATGCTTCCTCACTTTTTCTTTCATTTTGCTCTCTTTTGAAAGGCTTGTCATCCTCCCTTACTTTCAAAAATTCTGTTTCATTCGTTTGCTAGTGATACGCGCAACTCGCTCTCTGGCTCCCATAAAGTTTGAAATTTCAAAATACCTTCATAAGCAACCATTGCAATACAACAATATTGATGAAAAATACGGGATATTAGTGATAGCACACACACGCAAATACATCCAAAAAATTTCCTTCTCGAAAACAATAAAATTCCTCGCTGGAAAAGATTCTCTTTCCTATTTGGGAAACGCTGAACTTATTGAGAACAATGTTTACCTTAACCATTTCGCATTATCAAATTGAATCTCAAGAATATATACATATATATGTCCGCTGATGGGTTTGATAATACATATTCAAAATATTACTTTATATTATGATAACATAATAGAGTTTAACAATGCTCTCGCTCATTAGTTTGATGTTGTTGCAGACAACGCGATGTAAGTTTGCAATTGCAACCGATTGTTATTAAAATATTTGCCAAGGTTTAAGGGTTAAAAGTTAAAAACGTAAATGTTTGAAGAATGTGCAGGTGAGCGATAAATCAATATTATTTAGTCATTTTGCTGAGTTGCGCAAATATGGTAATCGCGGTGGCGCACATCCGTGCCACTGCTTCAGTAGATAATGATGAGATGATGGCATTCAGATGACACCTGTTTCAAATTTAAATTTTATCACAGCAATTTTATGAGAGGGCCGATTACAAAAGTATAAAATGGTTTACTTTAAAAAGAAACGTTCTTGCAATTTGGTGCGGCGCCACAACGAGGTTAGTACTTTTTGAATAAGAAGAAAATCCATGGAATATTTTTTTAAATTGTTGTTGTTTCATAAAACGCTATTTATTTTAATTGGGACAATCGATTTCATTACTCAAAAAATCTCGTTACTAAGGGCTTTGTAATGCTTTATCCAATTATTTTTCAACATATCCTCAACTTATGAGAAACATAGTAAATTGAATCTCACCAAGTATGTTTTGCAAAATGGCACAAATTTATATTATGGTAAATTTTTTTATATTTATTTTTGCATTTCTTCCTTTAGTAATAGAGTTATTTAGTTTCAATTATTGAGTGGAATCAAATTATAGGTTTGCAAACGAATTATATGTCTCTCTCAATTTGATGAAATATATATATCAACATGGAAAAAGCAATAAAATTCGCGACATGCGACAGACTGTTGCTGTTGGAGTCATCAAGGAAACTACCAAAAAGGTCGGGAATGTGAAAGAAACCAAGGCAGCAGCTAAGGCCAATAAAAAACAGGAGCAAAGAAGTGACTGGAAGCATCTGGCGCCCATCAACAGCTTGAATCCCTAAATTAGAAATTTTTCCATCTATATCTTTGAACATATTTTGTGAGCTCTATCGTCATTTTCCTTTAGGACAACCATACCGGAATATGATAGCGCCATTCATTATCGCTAAATCGAATCTCTTACATATATAATGCTTTTATGATTCTTGAATTGCATCCTGCCAAAGATTGTTGTCGCTCGATTTTTTGCAGTTTCCTTATATTGTACATCTACGTTAATCTAAAATGTTAAGCCAAGCGGTTCCCAACCTTTGTCGTTAAATTTCCCCCTTCGCCTATTTTGGAACACTATTTCTCATTTGCTATGCATAAAAAATACGTTATTATCCAATCTTTAACGGGCGTTTAGCTAGTACTATGCACAAGTCGCTCTCCCGCTTTTGTACAGTTCAAGTAGTTTATACTCTTTGCATAATACATCAAGTTGAATGTCCGTAATAACTTTATACAACAGTTATATTAATATAATTATGAAAATCTGATCAAAAATATGAAGTATTGTTTAGTTATTAAGTTCTCACGATATAACTGAAATGGGTAACTTTTTTCGGCGCTCCAGAAGTGTGTGTACCAATATGGATGTAACTAATTCTGTTCGTCTATTTTACATCAAGTTGTGTAAAGTAGAGATGTACCGATGTATCGGTATCGGCCATTCATCGGTATCGGTTAGATTAAGGCCGATATTTCCGATATATTCACCTTTTTGATATGGTCCAGAATGTTTTAAAAGATAAGTTGGAATATATACTACTTTTCAATTTATTTTTTGTCTGGAGAGATCGTGAGCTATGAGCCATACATGTCCCCACCCCCACGAGAGAATAGGATTCACGTGTTTTTAGCTATTTATCAGCCAAATTAGCTCAACTAATTTGGCCTTTTTCGCTGTCAAATTTTTATATTGACATTTTTAATATTACATAGTATTTATGAAGAAATATATCAACACGGCACATAACAAAATGCAACTAGGCGCCCAGTTTTTAATCATACAGAAGAATTGGGGTCCTTATTAACGGCACATGGACTTTTGGCACGGGTATAAATTCTGACTGTTTGTCGTTAAAGTACGAGCGTCATTTAGTCCGTCGACATCGATAAACTAAATTCCGACACAAATATCCATCTACGCAGGTATTAATTTTAATTTTGTTTAACTACACAATTTCTTTATAGATATATTGACCTGACCGCCTAGCCCTAGGGCCTAGACTGTCTCAAAAATATATGATAGCAATTGTATAATAATAAAATAGTAAAGTAAAAAAACATCCTCGACGGTTATAGGTAGGCCTTCTTTTGGTCGGTGCTGATTGATATTCTTTCATGTTGGCTTTGACTTATTGCGTCGACGATTACGATTAGCCGCGAAATATAATATTTGTAAAATGCTTTTAATTTGAACGTAGGACGGCGGTGCTAGAATGTGTGGGTGATATTCGATATTCTTTTAAACACGAATAACGGTATTCGAAGGTCGCGATATTAACAATAAATTCAAATTGGACATCCCGGCTTTATGAGTTTCAATTGAACACCGAGATTACTAGCGTTACTGTACAATGTATCTTAATCAGTTAAAGCATATTGATACCAAATATTAATTTCATATTATGTGATATATCTTTTTTTCGATCTGAAATAATGTGTACTATGAACAACGCTCAAAGACCATTGTTTTAACCCGTCTGCCTTACACAACAAACCTAATTAGGTAATAATTACATAGTATCGGTATCGGAGTATTGGTAATATCGGCCTTTTTGTAGTATCGGCGTATCGGTATCGGCGTTTCTAGGTGGTATCGGTATCGGCGACAAAAGTGGTATCGTTACATCTCTAGTGTAAAAGGACTGAAGCCTATGGGCAGGGGAATATTCACTTGGCTAACACAGGCAGTCACCGAACTCGTTATAGTATAGGGTTCTTGCTGTTGTTCCCTAAACTCCGCGTGCCGAGACCTCGCTTCCTTATTTATGTTGTGTATTGTATTAAAATCCAATAGCAATAAAACAGTATAAAATAGATAAAACACTAAAAGAACTTAACTTGATTGAGTAATAATGCTGGAAGCGGCTGAATTGAGTGAGGGTTGAGCGTTGGAAGTCGAGTGTTGTAATCTAGTGTAGTAGTGTCCCAAAAGCGAGTCCCCTAATTTTGCCAAAAACGTGCAGCGCGTCACGGGTCATGTGACCCGGTCTTAGGTGTCGCTATAATAGAACTAAAATAAGGAAAATTGAAATAAAATTATGCCCTAACGCTAACCTGGTACACACACTACGGGATTACCAATAAATATATTAGTAAAAATCAAGCACTAAAGAATATCAGTAATATTGCAGCAAGTACAAAGCCACTTTCCCCACAGAGAACGACAAAAATCTTCCCTGAGAAGAAATTCCTTCCCGGTCGGGAAACGTTTGCTTAGCCAATCAACAAATCTCATATCCAGCCGAGGCTGGTCAAGGTCTTCCGTTTTCCTTGTGATCTATCTTTACTATGTATTGTTCATTATTACTTATCGATCTCGATCGGTAAGTATGTTGATATATATTTGTCTGTTTGTTTGGTTGTTTTTTAGACACTTTCGTGTATGTTATTATGCGATATCAAACGAAAGCGAGGTTAAATCTGCTCCAAATGTTGCAAGTTCATTCATCATATTTCCTCCCATTGGATTTTGGATGAATTATGTCGTTTAATTAGCGAGTTATTAATCAAGTAGTGATGGGACACGCGGTGTCGCTATTGAGTCAGAGCGAAGGAATCGAAACCGCTGATCGATAAGTCGGCGTTCTCCGATCGCTATCTAGATCGCTTGGTATTTATGCATGCTTTTTGTTTCATTTCAGTTTTGAAAACTTTTTATTGTTCAGCTCAATAATAATAACATGTTAATTAAAAATATAGAAATAGGTGATCGTCTGTCTGATCTATCAAGTCTATATTTCTCAAAATCCCGCATCACGCTGGCCAAAAAAAAAAATCATTTCAAAACGAGACTGTTAGAGAACGTTTGCATTGTTCAATTCCCGTTCGGTAATACTTTAGTGCTCCAAGATGGAGCTATTTATTCAACATTGATTTCTTCACTTTAAATTTTGTTTCCTATTTATTTTTCAGATGAAAATCATGTGTCTTCCTGTTACTCAAAGGTTATTATCTTGTGTTTTCAAACTAATAAAATAAACATTCGAGTTTCGTACATCTTGTGTGGATGTCTTGGTTAGTTGAGATAGGTTGGGTGGTATATGACACTTAGAACCGATATTATGTTCTCCTTTTCGACCAATCCACCAGTTCAAATCTCTTTTCTTGATATATTATTAGATATATCACGTATAGGGTAAGTGAGTATTCCCAATTAAAGACTTTCCAACTCATTTGTTGTGTACACACTGCTTTTACTCGATCAACTTTTGTGTAGCGGTTCACTGGCCAATGTAAGCTTATAAAATGGGATTGGTATACAATTTTTCGATGATTCATGAAGTTTTTTATGGGAATGCTCCTCGTTCACTTGATGCTCGTGCTTCTTAAAGTTTGGACGCTTTCACAAACGTTATTACTTTTTTCTCTTCCAAGAGATTTTCGAAGAAGACTGAAAATTCTCTGTGAATCAGAAATTTTTGTTCGTTGCGCTTCTTGTATGTTTTAATTCAGAAATCACAAACTCATTGTACGTCTGCATAATAGCCAGCTATGTACGATGATGTTAATCAAGTTTTCTCAAAACTGAGCAGAGTATCAATTGGTCGACTAGGTGAATACAAACAAAACAAAACAAAAAACATTGTCTTGCAATGGTCTTTTCTTGATCTAGTGCTGACACGGGCAAACTACGACCCGCGGGCCAAACCCGGCCCGTTGGCTATTTGAATCTGGCCCGGCTGATACTGCCACAGCCAAACTAAAATCTAATTTGTTGTTTTAGCTAGAAAATAGCTCATGAAATTTGTTAAGATTGCGATTGCATTTAGATTTGGCACGAGGCTCACTGTTTTCCACTTCTATTCATAAAATGTTACTTTTTACATCACCCTTACATGGCCAGCCGGTCTAGGCGGGCAAAATTTTGGCCCCTGGTATAAAAACCTTGCACACCGCTGATCTAGTGGGTTGAAAACAGACACTCTTTGATCTAAAAACCATCTGCTGGTCGTCGGTTTTCAAATAAATGTTTCGCTCGTACCCAATCTTTCAATTTAATATAGCAAGTATATTTCTGTATAAAAAAGATTGCGTTAAAACAAATTTTGCAGTGTCACTGGCATTTCCACAATTATTACACACAGAAGCTGATTAAAACTTCAAAACCAGATTATTTTATCGGTTCTGTTACTATTATTCTCACGTCACACATTATGATTTTCACATAGCATCAGAAGACCACTGTGAAGCTAGTAGCAAACCTTCTTCTAATTTTGCGCAGCGGTGCGTATAATCTCGTTTTTGTGCTCATTGAAGGGTGATATGACAGTTTTGTGCTTATTGAAGGGTGGTGGCGTAAAACATGGGCGAGTCCTAAATTCCACACAGAGAACAATGATTAAGTTTGTAGACAGGCTGTGGAAGAAATACATCACGATAAGCAGTAAATTCAAATATATTTGACGGCAACTAAGGATACAGAGTGGAGAGCATCCCGGCGGTTTGATCGCCTATGCAGTTTCATTTGTCATAGTACGTTGTCGAAATTAAATATACTCGGCTGATAAAATTGATCAGGACAAATATTTTGACAAAAAATGTTAGATTACGTATTCATATAAGCTTGAAAATTCCATGTCACCTGCATAGGTTTCGGTAATAACTACTAATTGAAAGCTAAGTTATGTTCAATTTATGTGACATTTTTTTGGAAATACTTCTCACGCCTGCAAACATTTATACAGAGGTGCAAGATGGTACGCGAACTAAGAGAAATAAGCAATATCAACCGAGCCATTGAGTTGAGGTCCAAATCGTC